ACCCCAAAACCCCGAGAAGTAAATTTTGGAAAAGTTGTTGATTCTAAAATAAGGTATTTGAAAGATCTTAATTATCAACTAATTAAATAAACAATCAATGGAATCAACACAAAAAACCAAGAATTTAGACAAGGACGACAAATTTTAGGTAGAAGCAGTGGTAAGCTAGGACAAAGAAACTGGGGAAGTACTGTTCAATGGAATGTCAAATCAGCAAATCACAGCTTTTCAATATTAATGTAATAACAAGGGAATTAATCTTTCAGAACTTAACTACTACCAAATGGCTTGCAAGCCAAGATTGCTAGTTGATACAAAGGACGAGGATGAGAGTGATGAAGATGACTATATTGATATTAATTTGTTCCATTAGATCAAAGAGGTGCTGCTTTGTCCTGTGTGCTTTGATGTTTTCAAATAGCCTGATAATGTGAGACCTTGCTTGCATAAATATTGCCATAATTGCATTGAATTATATAATAGAAAAGTCAAGAAGGAGTGCCCAGAATGTAGGCATCCTATTGGCTCAAGAAGATAGCTCAGGTCTGATTACAAGATAAACAATATCAGTAAGATCTTTCTTTATACTAATTCCATTTTAGTATCTGCTCTCATTAGTGACATCGATGGGTTCAATCAACTTGAGCAATTGAGAAGAGAGGAGAAGATAAGAAATTACGATTTTGAGGCGAATCATGATCGTATGAAATATATCAGAGATCACTAGAACCTCAAAATTGAGTAGGAAAAGTAGGAGAAGGTTGTTAGTAAATCAAAGAGAAAGAGAGAAGAGATTAGAGAGTAGAATATAGGTAAGTTTCTGGCTATATTGCCTATTTATCACTTCGAAATTCACTTAAAATTAAATTTGATTAATTAATTTGTTTAATAATAGAAGATAATGAGTAAATGAATAATTAAGATGATGATGGGAGATTTACAAATTCCATGAGATCAAATCTCAATTTCAACGAGAGTGAATATTTGAGAAACAAGAATGTTAAGTAACTGTTTGGAGTAAAGAGAGACTTAAAGCACTAGTAGAAGTCTAAGAGCCTTAGAGTGATTGATGATGACATTCTGAAAGATGTCAATATTGAATTCATTGCAAGATAGGATATCGCAAGGTAGGACGCGCTCCAGGAAAAGATTTTTAAGACCTAATTGATTAGGACAACTGACAAAATCAAAGTTCTCCAGCTTAAGAAATTTTTGTTGATGAAGATAGATAAGGGTTAGAATATTACGCTTAGCGATATTAACATTTATATTTACACAAAATAAGTAAGAATCTTAATTAATAATCGCCATAATGCTTATTAGGGAACTTAGATCAAGTTGACTAATGATTAAACCATTCAAGAGCTAGTTGATAGGAAGATTTTAAGTGAAAGCAAGATGAAATTTTCATTTAAAAAGGAATAGCCTTCTTAACAGAACTTTCACAACTTAGAGAGAATTATTATCACATTTTCTATATGAAGAGTGAGATTAATTTTTACATTTTTAATCAAAATTTATTTCTTTGATACTATTTTCTAATAGGATTATATAATCAATGGCATGGGGTTTTGGGGTTTTGGGGTTTTGGGGTGATGGCAGTACATACGAGGGCCAGTGGATT